AAGAGCATTCAGTGCCAGCACACATAAGAGACTAGTGTTTGTGTTTCCTCTGTGCATCATATGCCACAACTTCTATTACTGTGATGTAATGGTTGACAATGAGCCCTGAAATTTGGGGGGTCCTCCATTATTTCACAATTGTTTTATAATGCAAAACCTTGTAAAACCCTTCCCAAACAATTTAACTTATGGATAAAACAGAGGTTCATAGTTAAAAATCAAGATTCCAACGTTGTTCTTTTCACTATACCAAAGTTTTGGAGTTGTTTTGCAGAACAAACGCTGGGTTTTTCAGTCACCCTCTAAAAACAAAAATGTGTTGTTGATCTGCTACCTCATAACACTTAAAGCACTCCCTGGGTGGTTTTACAATTTAATTATGCAAGCTACGCATTGCCATCTCAGCATGCTGGGTACTCAATTTACCAACCTCAGAAGAATGGAAGGCCGCGTCAACTCTGAGCTGGCTGCCTGAGCCGTTCAGAGTTAGATATATAAAATCTTTGAAAGTTTATAATTTTCCCTTGAAAAAACACACACATTAAAATAGAAATTTTCAGAAATTTTACATCTCTGTATCAGGATCAAACTCAGGTCGTGAGCCGAATCTTGGCGGCAGTCCACTGCGCCATGAGACTTCTAACTAAAGATTGAAACTGGCATACCTAGTGGGGAGAAGGTTCTACTGAGCATGTAAAAACCAATGTTGTCTTTTGCATGCCAACTCTATGCCAAGGTTTTGCACTAGTATAGGCAGCATTTTCCAGCATAAAAGCTATGCCAAAATTCTAGTGGTTTTTTAAAAAAAATTTCATGGTTGTTCAGATGTGCCACATTCTGTGTGGGTTCTGAAGTTTTCAGTAGGCCCACCTATTAGATTTCACTACTGTGCTTGCTCGCTCTCTTGCTCTCTCTCTCTCTGTGTATGCTGCAAAATGCCTGAATGTCATGTGCATTTGTGTATCAAGTAGTCAGGGACTCAGGACTAAGCCAGATGTGATGGGGAACATCCATATTTTGGATCTCCCACATTTCCTCCATGTTCAGTTCATAACTGTCCCATTCCATAACTGGAACTGCAACACTGAAGAATGGTTTTAACCTTTTAGTTTCGCAGCAGCTATGCGAGTTGTGGGATTCTGTGAGTTATACTCCAAAAAAAAAAGCAGCTTTCCCATTTTTGCTTGTTTACCAACTGCCAATTTTTCAATTTAACAAACTCCTCCACCTGCAAAATTAAAGCTTGCCATGTGTCACACTCTTGCGGCCAGACTAAGCAGGTCAAATGAGTAGTTCTGAGAGGGACAGAAGCTGAGGAACAGCCCACTTGGTCTTTGTCACCACCTCCATGAACAGGCTGGTTTACTATCATAAGAGTGCAGTCATGTTTAGTGGTTATGGTTGCAGGGCTGGGTGGCTAGAGTGCTGGGTTTGTGCTCAAATCCCTGTTGGGCCATGACGTTTAAGGAGTGGACCTGGGGCCAGTCACATTCAACCCACCCAAACTACCTGACAGGGTTGTTGGGAGTAGGAGGCGGGGAAGAGATGAACCACATAAGCTGCCTTATGCTCACTGAAGGAAAAGCAGAGCCAATGAATGAATAAATGATTGGAAGGGGGAAAGTCAGTTTATTCTCTGAAGGGGGTTGATTAAAATCATGGTGTCTCATCATCACAAAGAAACTGAATGGCTACCTCTGCATGGCTGACAAGGAATCCATTTTTATATCTCTGCCATTTGCTGTATTTGCCTTGTTATTGCTGGGCTCTGTCCTTCATTCAAGTGGGCATTTGCTGTCTGGACATTAACTCTGCAGAGCAGGAAGTGACGGAAGTGTCCAGTGTGTCGCCAGTCCCACCACTTCCAGACTAGAGGCAGCTGGTGTGAATTTAGATGGGGGGCATTGATTAAGGTGATAGATTATAAGTGGCTATTGGTCCAGTGAAAAGGCTCACTGGAAAAAAAACCATGTTAATGTCAGGCCATTTTGCAGATCATTAATTCAGAGTGTTGCCAAAAGTGGGAGGCGACTTGACAGCACATAACAACTACTACTACTACTACAAACTGCATTGCTCTAATACTAAATAGACAACATGTGCCTTTAACTCTCTATGAGCAATTGCAGTATTGTTGTGTATAATTGGTTTTAAGGAAAGAAATTATGGTATAATTCTTTTCAAGTTTATTCTGATGACGCTGAGCAGAACAAGAACTCACAGAGGCGGAGGTCATGTCACCACTAAAGGACCAGTTAGAGTGACCAGACACAACCAGGGAGTGGTTGTTTTTCCCCTCTTTTATTTACCTTCTGCCCCAAAAGATCCTGCTTACTCCATAACCATCTGCCCTGGCTGCTTGTTAAGGAGCCGAGGCTTAGCTTCCCTAAAGCATATGGTTGAGTCTCATTGAGGGGGCAAGACGGTTAGTGATTTCCCTCCAGAAACCAAGAATCCACAGCGCAGTCTGTAAACATGAGGCAGCCATCTGCGAAGAAATCTCTTTCTTACCATAAAACAACCAATGGCTGAGCTTCTTATTAACAGGTCACTGGACTCATGCTTAATCCATGTCTTGAACTGGTGACCTGAGGCATGAATTTAGCCCTCATGCCACTACCAAGCTCTAGTCACCGGACGGAGCCTGGAGGAGCACAAGCCTAGAAGCTTCCTGACACTGGCAGAAGACAGAGGAAATATTCTTTTGAAAATGCGAGGCTTAAGCCAGCTCAGCTGGCCGTCTGCAGGCCACCTCCATCACTCTCCCACCATTAACTTCAGGTGACCTAAATCTATAAAATGAGTCAGAATCCAGAACCCCTATGGATGCCCTCCCTTCCAGGAACCTTTCTTTGTGAATTGCAGGAGATACCATTTCATTTACCTGTATTAGTCATGCAAATGAACAGGCCAATTTTTTTCATTCTTTTGTGCAATTTCATTTAGCCACATCTTAACCATTTGTACTGAAGAAAATGGATGGAATTTGAACACACCCACACCTACCCCACACCCACCCACTTGAAAGGTATAATATATATCTGGCAAGAAATTCTGACTTCCAGACAGCTACACAGCGACAGAAAATGACTTCTTCCTTGCTTGGGTTCTGAAACACTCCCCTGTCCCTGCTGCCTTCTAGGAGTGGCTCTGCCACAGGGTCCAGAGACAACAAATAGTGGAAATGACGGGAAAAGCAGAAATTAAATGGAGAGAAACCAGATCATTAACAGAAACTAGTTAGAGGACAATAAATCTCTGTGTATAATTAATTGCTTGTCTCACTAACATCCAGAACTGAAGATACCAGCTGTATATGCAATCGTCCTGCTCTTTAGCATGAAATTAGCACCACGTGTGTGCTAGATCACGTTACAAAGGACTCTTGGTGTTGCAAACATCCCGGAACTGAAGAGACCAGCTGTATATGCAATCGTCTGCTCTTTAGCATGAAATTAGCACCACGCGTGTGCTGGATCATGTTACAAAGGACTCTTGGTGTTGCAAACATATCTGAATCCAAAAATAATATCTTTTTTTCCTGCTGTTCTTTTTTTTTTCCAGGAAGAGGGGAAGGAAGGTTTTCAGTCCCAAGGCTCACCAGCAAGGATTCATCAGAACCAATAAAGGAAAGCAGCTAAGTATCACTCCTTTTCTTTGTCTCACACTGACACCCTATGGCCATGTTTTACTATCACAGCCATAAAACTCAGATTTCAGAGAAACAGAGGGTGCAATCAGACAGATGCAAAGGCACAAACTTGATTGCACCAGAAATGGTCCCTCTAACAGGAGTGATCTCCCTTAAAAGTGACCCTTCCATCTGCCCGAGAATCACTCCAGTTTGGCCCCGAAAAGTAGAAGCTCAACAGGTGGATAAAAAACAACAACAACAACTCCAACTTGGGTACAGAGAAGCCCCCGGGGTTGTGCCATGAAGTGGCTGCAGAGCCGCTCAAGGTCTGCGCTGGTGGAGGAGGGCCTAGACTCAGACTGCCGAGAGCAGAAAGAAGAGCACAAGGAGCGGCTGCAGGATCACACTGGGCAGGGTGGTCCATGTGCCCCTAAGAAATTTGCACCCAGGGTGACTGCCCCAGTAGCATTCCCCCCCCCAATGTTACACCACTGGCTAAGGGCAAAGGATCAGACCTCTTGTCCACATCACTCCACCAATGGAAAGGGCCAAGAACACGGCACTCTGCCTGGGAATTTCTGATTTCCCTTTTACTGAAGGTAAGCGCAAGAAAGTAGAGAAAACACGGCAGAAGCAGACTGTTTGGGAAACCCCAAATGCAACCCTGTATACTTGTACAATGAATCCAATCCAAGACACACAGAAGGAAACAGAATCTTTTTTTTTATCAGTGGAAATGTGCCATGTGTGAGCCTTTTTGTCATCACTCAAGGACGGACTGCACGGCATCGAGGTGCATTGTCTTGTCTCACAAGGATTTGCTCCAACGAAATCTCACTCCCGACCCAGATTGCTATCTCCCTTTTGTCTATTCTGGCCCTCTCCTGCCCACTTCAGTCTCTCTGCCCTTCTTTCCTCCTTGTTTTATCCACGCGCTATCCTCCAACTTTAACATTTCAGTGGTCATATATTTAATTTGAATTTTTTAAAAAAAATATTCTTAGGTCTCACTTTTTGTGCTGTGGTGAAAAAAAAGGGAACATTTAAAATGAGTAAATTGCAGAAGCACCAGATGCCTCCCTTGCCTTACTTCATTCTCACCTCCCTTCCCATCCTCAAAACTTCAGATCTGGCCCTTGTGCTTTCCTGTTTTGCAAATTCCATTTTCACTTTTGTGCTATGATACGAAAAGTGGTAACACTGAAAATTAAAAGCAAAACAGAAAGCAGGAACAGTTGGGACCTTCTTTATCCTCTCCTTCATTCTTACTACCTGGCAACCGCTGGAACACGAGACCATCCCAGAATTTCACAGGGAGGTGTGCGGGGGGTGTGTGTTTTTTAAAATTTAAGGTGACCATTGTTACCTGGTAGTAGTAGTCCACATACTCCGACTCATAGCGCTGGGGACCAAGGCTTTCAGCAGACAATGCATCCTTCAGCAACTCCTCACAGCCTTAAAACAAGACAAAACAAGGAGAAGAGTATTCAGCATGGGTGCTTTGAAAGAATTTAGATTCATATGCATATATAGAGCTCAGGCAGTGGAAAAGTCAACAGCTATTTGGGGCATTATAACAATGCAGACTATTTGCAGTCACACATCATTTGCTTTATTGTACCTTCAAGACATTGTTTCATACAGGTTAGCAAATCAATCCAGGGGTTAGAGTAATGGGCAGACAGAGGAGTGTGCTTGCTTGGTTGTTTATACATTATACCCATTAGAAAGGGACTGTCAGGTCAGCGTATCACTCAGCAATGTAATGAAGGCTGCATTTCCAAGCCCAGACCTGAATGTAAGCTCCACAGCACTTGGAGAGCAGTCCAACAACACCTAGAGAGCCACAGGTCACACATCCCTGAATCAAAGGTTCATGGTTGGCAGGACTGGGAAACCTTCTGCTAGAGAAGCCAGATATCTCATCAGAGCAGAAACTGTGCCCAGGTTATTCGATCACTGGTTGATACAGTACAAGGCATCTCCTCATGGACCACTGTAGGATCTTATGAATGCTACTGCTGCTATTATAGTTTTATTTACATTGAATATATAACTCAGCACTTTGTAATTACTAAAAACTATATAGGAAAAAAACATAAGGTTGACTCTTAATTAGACTTATACTTACAGAAAGCCTATGGAAATCAATGGCAAATCAGTCAAGATCAGTTTAAATTCCATTGATTTCATCAGTTCTATTCTACAACATTTAAGGAATGGAAAATTGAGGAATGTGGTAGTACTGCAGCTCAATCAGTGAGTCACTGGTCAACCATGAAGGAAGATTTAGCCAGGGAAGCCTGTTAAGGAAACAGGTAAGAAATTTAGAAGCAATTGGAATGCAGGTAGTGAAGCAATCAAATACATATCACTACTAAAAGAAAGCCAAAGATAAGTACTAACAGAGCAAGAAGTGAGGTGCTTATCAAGGAGACAGAGACCAGTTGAACAGAAGAGTTTGGAGAGAAAATACAGCTAAAGTCAAGACAGAAGATAAGGAGGCACAAATGAATGGAACAGTTTATGAAATTCTAATAGGAAGGAAGGAAGGAAGGAAGGAAGGAAGGAACTCAGTAAAGTTCATAAAAAGGGATAGAATGGAATGTGGTCCAAAAGGCAAGGGCAGAAAGAAGGCACATAACAACATTTATAATACTGTAGAATAAAAGAGGAAGGACAAGTTGCAGCTTCAGAATCTAAGGGTGTGACTACACAATAAGGGAAGACTCATTGGGGCATTCAGTTCTCTTCATTAAAACTGGCCACACAAGCAGAGAAGAAAAAAAAGTCTTCTAATTTCTGTTCTATTTGAAGTGCCCGTAGGTGGTGCAG